TTATGCAAACCAAAGCTGCCGGCTGATGTAACATATGTATAGAACAAATCTGAATCCGCTTTCACCGAGGTCTAGCCAGGTGAGTGCTCAAGTGCACCCTATATTCTCCCACAGCTCCTGCACTTCTGGCTGGCTGGAAAGCTGACATGCAGGGTGGCCTGTAAGCCTCTTTTGTCCATGTGCAGCAGAGTCATCTGCCAGCTCAGTTGCTCTCGCAGACAAAGCTTCAGAGAGATAGCCAGTATTCTGGTACATCCTCGCTCTCTTTAGAGCGGGGGCTGGCCATGGCCCCTTGCTCTATATCTCCTAAGCCTCCTCCAGTTCATTTTGTTCTCTCTCCCTCTCTCTCTCTCTCTCTCTCGCTGTCCCATTTTCTTCTTCAAAATGTACGTTTTGGCTGCCTCCCCTTGTTCTACTGTCCATGGTAATTGAGCAGCCCTACGACTACGGTATAGCATTATCTTTCTGCATGGGCAGTGCAGTCTCGCACCAGAATGTGAAATAGCTTCACCGGTTCACGGTGCAAAACATAGCAGTTTCACGATGAAGGATAAAAGAAGAATAAGATTACTCCCAGGCTTCCAAACCATTACAGGCCTGCTTCTGCCTTTCAGAGTCAAAACATAAAACATACTTTTTAGTACAAGAAACCTTAAAAAGATATGAAAATTGATTGAATTAGCCAGCTTTCAAAACAATTGTGTATGCATGATTTATGGATATTGGACATTTCTCTACTCTGTCCATGGTGGTATTCTATGGGGTGGGGGTGTTTTAAGCTTAAACAGGAGTAAACAAATGCCTACAGTTTTGTTTTACATTCCCTCAAACCTTCCATACATAAAACAGCACGCATAGATAATAGATAGTAATAGATAATAGATAATAGATTAATAGATTAACTCAATGACTGAAAGCAAACAGGAGGTGGGGTCAGTTGAAGAGGTTTGCCAGGGGGGTGTGGCTGACCTTACCTTTCTGAATCAGTGTCTGTGGAGAAAATAATTTAGCGACAGGCTGATGTCGTGTTAAACACTGCCAAAGGTAACACATTCTACCATATGGAGACATGATCCAGTTGGCTTGGAAGTTGGTCGGTAAATGGAATAGAGGAACATGTGCTGGAGAAACTCATAACGAAAGCCAAAACGCCCTTCAGATAGCATCACGGAGGCAGACAATACGAATAGCACCCCTGGATGCTGAATGTTTATGCTCAGTGGCTTTGTGGGCATGTTCAGGAGCTTCGGGATTTATGACCGCCGCCGAAATGCACTGAAGTCAACACAAAGCCGGGAGTAATATTTCACCTTTGTTTTCATATTTAGAGTAGATTTGCTGAGATGTATTTTATGGAGATACAACAGTTTAAGCTGTTTTCTCCTTCTATTGCGGTGGGAGTGGGAGTGTAAGCTGTCAGGCGGGGTGACGGGCCGACTTAAACTGTGGCGGAAAGCACCAGCGCACCGAACCCCCCAACGCATGGCAGCTCTTACACACTCGCACACCTCAGAGGTTTTTTACAGTTTAGAGAACGGGGAAGTAAGTCGCAGGACTGTAATTATGTGTTCATGGCTTCCAGCTGGGCCAGCGTGAAGCCAGCACCGCTGAACACAGCCGCCATTAGGGATCGCTAATGCAGAAAGTCTCTGGACTTCTCTGGAGACTGGTGGGGGTCGTTCAGTAGGTTTGTGCATTTCTGTGTGTGTGCGCACATGTTTGTGTTCAAGAAGGAACACATGGAGAGCCATGGACCAATATTTTAGTTGTTGTGTACAATATCCCTCATTGTATTTCTTGGGGACACAGAGCGAATTTCTGATTGGGGTCTTCAAAATCCCCGTAAAATGGAATATTCCCAGTTGCATTCAAACAATTATAATGCACTTGCTCTTTTTTATGAGGCGACCACGATAACAAAATGATGACACTATGACCCGAAACCGCGTCATTGCGATGTGTGAGTGGAAGTCTGATATTAAGAAGACTTGAAAAATCAAATTAGGGACTCAAGAAATGGATAGCAAGGTTGCTTTAGTTATGGGAAACTCAGGCAAGTGTAATGATGTAGTCTGTTTAGTATTCACATCTAATCAGTCAGTCACATTGAGTTTTCCCTCTTTTTTCATTCAGATATGTTCCAATAGAAGTGTGAAAATTGTACATCAGGGAGGGCTGGGTTTGAACTACAGGATTTTTTTTTTTTTTTTTTTTACTTCGCTGTGCCGTTTCCAAGCAACATCTCTGAAGTTGTGAAGAAACAGGCACTAATAAGCTACCTCATTAAGGCGGGCGCATGGTAGGCCTTTATGGTTTGTGCTGTCAACTCAGTGGGTTAGGATGCAAACTTCAAAAGACAGCTGCGGATACAATGCATGCACACAGGGGTGCTAATTTGGTTCAGAAATTGGTAAACAAACCATTCTATCAACCCACTTTTTCTTGGCCGGTTTGAGGTGTGCGGGTGAACCTACGATCCGGGTCCCTTTCTGAAGGGGCTCCGGCGTGGTGACAGGGCACGTCGTCCTCTCCGTGGTGATAATACAGTACATAAAAGCCTCATTATTCAGGAGCTAATTTGGCTGTGTGTTCTCGCCCTGAGGCCGTGCCAAACCTCAGGCTCCCTCCATTGTTGGTCTCTGCCACTCCTATCGCAGACAGAGAGGATTTCCTTAGCACACCGAAACACAACTGGACACACATTCATGTGCGCCATCTCATTAATGCAAACACAACCCCTAGTTAGATCCCTATATGTAATAAATTGGATTAAATTCCACTGGCTAAGCACTGTGATCTCGTAGGGTTAATTAATTTCAGTCCATTCTGTCTGCCTTTTTTTCTACTTGAACACATGCTGACACTGTTATTGTGTGGCATCCTGCTCATTGGAGAAGTATAATGGGCTCATAAAGGAGGGAGAGGAAGCCGCAATGTTTCCCTCTCCAAAGTGATTTTGATTCATTCTTTCTTTTCTTTCAACAAGGAAGTAAGCTTCAGTGGCTGGCTCTAATGTGGTGTATCTTTACCCTTCACATCCTCTCTCCAGCTCTTATCTTCCCCTCCAAATGACAAAACCTGGATGGCTTCACAGGGCCCCTGTTTCTGCCTGGATGCTATCTCATTTGGTTTTAATATATTTATCCATTCGTTATTGTTCCCTTTTATCGGCCCGCTAATATTGTTCATAATTTGTCCTTATCTGCAAGCCTGACAGTCAAATTTGCTCTCCGGCTCAGCAGACAGATGGAAAAATGACCCCCCCCCCCCCCCCCCCCCCCCCCCAACTCCTCTCCTCCTTTCATTCATCTCCTCTTCTCCAAACTCCAATGAAACATGACTGACAGCCTGCTGTATAAGTAGTTGTCATAGCAACCTCCCCATCCATCTGACAAGTACTTTTTCTTTTATAGCACCCCCCCCATCACAACATCCATCTCCCTCCCTCCCTCCATTCTCTCTCCACCGCTGTTGCAAAAATTGAGAAAGAAGCCCGGAGAGAAGCGAAATGCGAAAAAGCCGAGCCCCCAAAACAGTTGCTGTGCTTTCCTTCAACCTTCTACCCCGCAAAACTCACAATCCTTCTCCGTTTCCTGCCCCTCCCTCGTCCGCCACACCGCCGACAATGATTTACCAACTCTGGCGGTGTAGCTCTTTCATCCGTCCTGCCTTATCAAGGACTGCAGGACTGTATGCCCAGAAACTTACAGTACGGGCACATCGCTCAGTTTCTCCTCTCCTCTCAGGCTCATTTTTTTTTTTCTTTCTCAGCTCTCTCCCCCCTCTCCGTCTTTGTTCTCCGGCTCCAAAAAAGTACCACTCATCCCCATTCCCCTTTCGGTAAGACTCAGTTGACTGTCAGAATCCTCTGCAGCCTCCGGTGTAATCACAGAACAC